AGTGGCCAACTTGTAAAATGCGGTGAAACTCACTTAACAACGCTCTTGCTTAGAAACCAAAATGTTGGCTCAGGAACTCNAGAGAGAATGAGAGGGCTAGAGAGACCAACAGAGAGAGAGATAGAGAGGGAGGGAGGGAGAAAAAAGAGACAGAAAGAGAATGAGTGTGAGAAAGAGAGAGAGAGAAAGAAATAGAGAGAAAGAGAGAGGGAGAAAAAAGAGACAGAGAGAAAGAAAGAGAGAGACAGAGAGAGGAGGAAGAGACAGTGTGTGACAGTGAGATAGAGAGAGAAAGAAAATGAGAGAACTAGAGAGAAATAGAGGGAGGAAGAAACAGAGAGAAAGACAGAGACAGAGAGAGACAGAAAGAAAGAGAATGAATGTGAGAAAGAGGGGGAGAGAGAAAGAGAGAGACAGAAAGAGAGAGTGTGACAGACAGAGAGGGAGGGAGAGACAGAAAGAAGAGAGAAAGAGAGTGACAGTGAGAGAGAAAGAGAGAATGAGAGGGCTAGAGAGAAATACAGAGAGAGAGAAAGAGACAGAGAAAAACAGAAAGAAAGAGAATGAGTATGAGAGAGAGAGAGATAGAAAGAGAGAGGAAAAGGGAGAATAAAGAGACACAGAGAGAAGGACAGAGAGAGACAAAAAGGGAATGAGAGTGTGAGAAAGAGAGAGAGAGAGATAAAAAGAAAGAGAGAGAGGCTGTGTGTATATGACCGGGTATTTGTGTTTTGCAAATTTCCCTGCTACTCTCAAAGGATTCAACCTTTGCACGCCTTTGCACGCAACCACGCAGGCAAAAAATCCTCCTGGTGAAACTTCTGTAGCTTCCCCCCACTTACAAGTTATAGGGAAGGGGGGGTCCTAAGCCCTGCCCCCCTCAGCCCTGATTTTGAAAGGAGGCGGGCCCTATAAACATAAGGAATCATCAAACCACCGAAACAAAGCCGAAGGACCACTTAAAGGTCGTCCTGGGAGGAAGAAAGGAAGAAAAGATTTGGAAGGGGAGGTCCGTCCCCAGCTGGAAGGTTCTGGAAACCTCAGAAACTGCTAATTATCTTAAAATTAAAGGCTTGGCGAAGAGAGAGCCTTGCATTTTCGCCGCGCTCTTCCAATCCCCTCTGGGCCCATATTCCTTTATTGCTCAAACCGCAAACTTTCCATGATATCTCTCTGTATCTCTCTTCCTGTCCTGTTTCAAGTTCTTTTTTCCATTAACCTGTTATTTGTCTCCCTGTTTTTACAGTGCAAAAAAACCCCTCTTTGCACTGTAAACTGGAGGCTAAAACCTACGATGTGCAGGAACTGGGCCTGGCTAGTCTAGGGAAGAGAAGGACCAGGGGAGACAGGTTAGCATCTTAGAGGAATTTCCTGACAGGGAGAACAATTAACCCATGAAACAGAAGTTGCCTTCGGAAGTTGTGGGAGCTTCATCCCTGGAAGCTTTCAAGAAGACACTGGGCTGCCCTCTGTCAGAAATGGTGTAGGCTCTCCTGCTTGGGCAGAGGGGTTGGACTAGATGACCTCCAAGGCCCCTTCCAATTCTGTTAATAGCAATAGCAATAGCAGTTAGACTTATATACCGCTTCATAGGGCTTTCAGCCCTCTC